CTACAGAGATATCCTAGCCTCCAAGCAGCTTTCAAGAAGACTCTGGTCCTCTGCAGATCCTGTGTCCCCTCCCCTAGAGCCATAAGGATATTTCAGACACGTTGGACAACTTGTATAGTAAACAGAGTAAACTTCTACTGTGCTTTTAACTCAGTCCTTTACTGTTCAGTCAACTCACAAATGACAAGTTTTTCATTTTATTTGTTGCAGAATACAACTAAACCAGTGCCAATGATGTTCCTGAGTGGTAAATTTAATTGGTGCTACATTGAATCAGTCCAGGCCAACATTCTTGAACTTCCATACGTCCACAATGATCTCAGCATGTTTATACTGCTACCCAGTGAGATCACTGGCCTACAAAAGGTAAAGCAACTAAAACTCAGATCATGTGAAAATGAAGAATGTTGTTATATATTTATTTACTTCACATCAAGCCCAAGGAAAAGGAAATCCCTAATTCAGTCTAGCATTTTAGAAACTTGAACCTCTTTGAACTAGACTTTTAACTGTAGCAGCTGGCACTTTTACATTTCCTAATATTGATCAGTCCTAGAAGCAATTTCCTGAAGCCCAGAAAAACAGCTCCTCTTCCAGCCAAATTAAAATAAGGATGGGGTGGCATGTGCGAAAGATTGCTAGCCCCAGGGAGATTCACTGTATCTACCCATATACAGTTTTGTTCTAAGAGAAAAGCACTGCTTGGACAGCCTCCTTTACTTTCCAGGATGTCCAAAGTTCATGTATATGGACTTTGCCATCTTCTGTGGGACTGATACATACTATATCTTTACATTAATAAGTGCTCTGAAAAAAAAAAAAAAAAAAAAACAACTCTGGTGAATTCTAAGATGTAGGGAAGATGGAAGTGGCAACAGTTAATCACCCAGAGTATTGCTATGTGACATTGCTGTTATTATACTACAAATGCTTAGATCTGAATGTGCAGTTATATTCCCTGAAAATTACTGAGAGGAGTTAAAATACTACAGTTACTCCATGCAGAGTAATGTACTCTTTCTGGTAGAAATGATCTCCAGAGTTATCTTTCACGACTGTTATTTTGTTTTGTTTTGTTTTGTTTTTGTTTTTTGATATTTGTACTTTTAGAGCATCTTGAAAAGTTCTCTGTTTAGAAAAAGAAATAGCCCTTTGGGCAGAGGTTCTGGTAAACTCCGTAATTTTCTGATTCTGTTTTTAACTAACTGCAGCTAGAAGAAGAATTGACTTTTGAAAACTTGTCTGGATGGACGAGCCCGGAATTAATGGAGAAAACGAAAATGGAGGTTTATCTGCCCAGGTTCACTTTGGAAGAGAAATATAACCTCAAATCCATCTTGAGCAGGATGGGGATAGAAGATGCCTTCATTGAAAGCCGAGCTGATTTCACAGGGATGGCAAAGAACAGTGATCTGGTTTTGTCACAGGTTTTTCACAAGTGTTATGTAGAGGTCAATGAAGAAGGCACAGAAGCAGCAGCTGCCAGTTCGGGAGTTTTAGCATCACGAAGTCTTGGTGCTACTATTATTTTTGTAGCAGATCACCCTTTCCTTTTCTTTATCAGGCACAACAAGACCAATTGTATCCTCTTCTTGGGAAGGTTCTGCTCCCCATAGAAACTCAACTATTACCTAAACAAGCCTCTCAACAATGATATATATATATATATATATATATCACAAGGTGTATTTAAATATTTTGGACTCTTTCTTCATTTTTCTACACATTTGATACCTTTCTGCATGTTAGAAGAGAGCATGTATTAAAAATAATCTATAATTTGTGTCTCTGGGTTATTTTCCTCGTCAAAGAACCTGAAAATGGTAATACCATTCTGTAAGTCCAAACTATGCACTGAAGGACACTGATGCCTCTTTGCAGAGCTTTCAGAACCAGAACTGCTGCCTAACAATGATCTTGTGTCCCTCCATGCTTCTCAAGCACTTTCTGATGTTCCTCAGATATAAAGACACAAAAACCATGATGGAGATGGGGGGGGCAAGGCAACGGAGGAAAAAGATCTTGATAACATGCATCCATCATTCGTAAGCTTTTAAAGTTAATAGAAATCTCAGCCACTTTTCTCTTTCCTTCAAGCATTTTAAGAATGGCTGCAAACATGACAGAGTTAACATCCTCCTGCTGGTGCCAGACTAGTAATGAGGAACAACGACCATGAGGCTTGGGAGCTTCTGTTGGACATTAGGAAACAATTTCTCCCCAGGATAGCTACCATCTTGAGCAGATAGTCCCAAAAGACTGTGGAATCTCCATCCTCAGAAGATTTCAAGGCTCAGCTAAACAAAGCTGCAGATGACCTTGTCTACTGATGATCCTGCTTCAGGCAGGAGGTTGGCCTCTGAATATCCCTTTTAACCAAAATCCTAGGATGAGAGATTCTCTTTCTGGTTCTCTATTGTCAAATGCAACTCCCATTCTGTCTTTCCACCTCCTTGTTTTCATCCTCTCTGGCATCTTTGCATCTTCAGCTAGCTAATAGAGTTAGCTCACTTGCTCTTGGCATACTTCTTTGGTACTCATAGTCTCTGGCTTATGTTTACCACTCACTGCCTAACCATTCTGTAGACCTTTCTCCTACCCTGCTTTCTTGATGACTTCACTCACCTTACTGAAACCACTGCTTGTTCAATTTCTGGCATTTCTTCATTGACTTACACAACACTGATTTCTGCCACTTTTCAGAATACTTGGCCCATTCTGTTCCTGTAATCAGGTTTGCAGGGAAGTCCTTAGCACATAGCACAGCATATACTTCCCCTCTCTTCTTTTCTGGGATAGTATCAATGACAAGCACTAGGCTATGTCTGATAATATGGCTGTATTATCTCACCTTATCTTTGCTTAAGCCCTCCCAGAGAGGTTACTCTCATACTTGCCCTCCTCAATGCATGCAGGTGCAGTGCACCAACTCAGTGTTTTGCACTGTTTCTCCAAGTATTTCTTACCATGATTGTAATGAGATCTCTTCACCAACAGATTGGGTGTTCAACCATTATTTTGAATGCTCCCTCCTGACCTTGCTTCTGCTCATGCTTCTAGCGGTCTTCAGTTTTAAGCTGGACTCTTATTCAGTCACTGGCCTCTTCCTACTTCATACTCACATATCTCGTTCAGAGCTAAAGCGTAACAGCCAGGCAAATCTGGAAAATCAGGCCTACATTATCTGCTTTTGTCTAAAAACCCAAATCGTGTGCTCTAGTTCTGTGACTTTTTCATTACATTCATTTATTATAAACAACAGTTGTCTCCACAGTATTAAAGGACCTTTGGAATGAATAAAACATTTTACTACCCAAGAAGTGATATTAAAATAAAACTGAGATTATAATTCATGTTGTCCTTCTGGTCTAAGACTACTAAGTGACCATCTTGTCAACAGAAATGGTAAACTTGCGTAAGATCTTTTTGGGATTTGGTAGAAATTAACTTCTCTAGGGTAGGCAGGAACAGCCTGGGTGTAGAGGAGAAGGAAAGGGAGGTGCAAGCTGCACTATATTTCTAAATTTATTCATTGCCTAACACAGACAGAGGACCTGGCTAAGGACAAGGGTTAACTCTCCTCTCTCATAGGATCAGAGGTAACCATTTAAATCAATTTAAGTAAACTTTTTCTTTTCTCATTCTTTTGTAAAGATGCTTTATAAGGATTTGTGGCTACATGACTGCATAAGTAATTTACAATATATCAGTATTATATTGCGATTGCTGGTTTTGGCCATGTTTTTTTCTGGATGTCAACTCTTAGAGAAAATGAACTCATAAGACTATGGCAAGCTGCTAATTCAGGGCAGAATTAATCACAGGAAGTTTTTTTTTTTAATTATTTTTTGAAGCAGTAACTCTTATACTAATTAAAATCTTAATTTGATAAAGAAGTCCTATACTCCAGGGGAAGCAAGGCCCTTTTCATTATGCAAAGGCACAGCACTGCACATTATCAGGTCTGGGAGTTAGAGTGGTATTCATTGGGGGAAAACAAGATGGATTTCTATTCTCATGGTATTTTAGTCATATTCTACAAGGAAAGGAATCAAATATGTGGTACAGATTTGGATACCTATTTACAGCACACTGTCAGAAAAACTGTAGTGATTTTTGCAATTAAACATGCCCAGACTCTCAGATATCCCTCAGCAATTTCTGCAGCTCCATTCCATAGAAACTAATCATTCCATACATACAAACCTTTGTTTAAATAATAATAGTGATAATAATAATTGTAATGGTCTGTAGCAAAGAAAAGACTGAGAATCAACATCAGGCAGATCCTACTGAGCAGATATCTGGAATAATCATAACTTTAAGGAATCTGCCATTTTCTAAGAAAAATAAGATTGCCAGAAGATAAAGGTTGTAGATAGACACCACTAATAAAACTGTAGTTCTCTAGAAACAAATAGCATCTTTGCTATACTGTAAATAGCATCTTTGCTATGCGCATATATATATGTGTGTGTATATATATATATAAGGTAATAGCTAGGGAATTCAAAGGATTTTAAGAAATACGTCTAATTATATTTTTAGAATCAGTGCCTAATTCTATACAGATCTAAAATGAGGTAGCGGGAAATTCAGACATTCTGCAACACCATGTGCTAAAATTACAGAGATATTTAAATTCCCCTGGGAGTATTATTTTGAGAAATCATTGGTTAAGGAAGAAATAGAATAAAATATGCAGCGTAAGAATCTGCACATTTTTGAAAACCAAAGGCACAAAGAAGCCCAAAGAAATCTGCAGCTTCATAAAAGAGGATCTATCTACAACTATAGGGAGATATTAACACATAACAAAAAAACTAAAATAAACTGCTAATCCTGACAGGTGGCAACAGTATCTCTGTGTAAGAGAAAACATACAGCTAGGCTATTAGCTTTAGCGGTTGCCCAGGCAATATATTGTAATTGCAATATTCCTCACTGGTATGCACTGCATCCACCATTTTAAACAGTCATGTTATACTCTTTCCAGGCTGAAGCAATGGAGCTGCTCTCAGCATCAGTTGGCAACTTTTCAGTTGATCTTTTCAACAAGTTGAATGAGATCAATAAAGGCAAAAACATTTTCTTTTCTCCTTGGAGCATCACAACTGCTTTGGCCATGACGTACCTGGGTGCAAAAGGTAACACAGCAAAAGAGATGGCAGAGGTAGGTTGCTCTGTAGAGCATGTACTCTGATACCATGCCTGTTTCCTGTATTAGCTGCAAAATATGCTGTGTTAAATAGAAAAAAAATATGCCACCACAGTGACAGGGCAAAAAAAAGCACAGTGAGCAGCAAATTTTGTTTATTTCATATCACGTATCACCTTCCTTCAGTAGAAGAAAGTGTCCTATGGGCATCATGACTCTGAGCTCATTGAGCTTCTCTGAACCGACTTTTTAAAAATTATTCTACACCTTATAATTTTTCTTAACATTCTGTCACAGATGGGATGTTGCCTTTGAGAAAGAGTCTCTGAGGTAGCAAACAGCTGGAGCCAGGAGCTCCTGGCTCATTTAGCAAGAGCCTTGCAGATCCCAGCACCATCTCCTGCACCTTACCTCCCCTACCTCCATATTTCTATCTTGATTTACACTTTCCTAAATACCTCTCTGACAATCTAGAAGGAAAACAGGAATGGCATACATCCCAAGGGCTCTCCTGTCTCCACATTCTTCAGCACAGTTGCTACTGTAATGTAACACTGCCAGACAGATTGCAGGAAGATGCAAAGCAAAGAAACCAAGGCTTCAGCTGGGAGATCTCAAGATTAGAAGTGACCATGACTACATACCTGACACTCAGACAATTAACTCCTAAGAAGCACTTTTCTCAGCTTCCTGGACTCTTGGGCGTCTCATCAGGAAAAAGCCAAGGTGGCATATTTCAACTGCCAGCAACCAAATCGTGGCTCCTAATCAGCCGAAGAAGTATTTGTCAACCCAAACCTTCCCCCTGAACAGCTTCAGGCAGTGTATATGCCTATAGCTTTGAAAATAAAAGTACACTATAGCAAGAGAAAGCACCCAGACAAAAGTGGCTGTTGTGCTCAGCACTGTCCAGCACTCCCCTCTGGGTCACCACGCTCCATTTCAGGAGTCTTTGCACATTTGCCCTAGGGAGAACCATTTGGGTTTGCACATATGCATCGCTGTTACTGAAAGCAACAGCTCTGGAAAGGGGCTCAGTCTTGCAGCACGTAGACTGGAGCGCTGCGTTGAATTAGCTGCTAAAGCAACAACTAGCACAGTGAGTTATCATAAGGAGTAAAACAAGATAGGGACAACACTTGATCCAAATGTGATTTTAAAGCACACAAGTTCTCTTATGCCTGTTTCTCACCTTTGGAAACTTTGCTTGCAGGTTCTCCATTTCCCTCAAGCTGCAGGAGATGAAGGTTCTTCTTCTGTGGCCAGACCTTCTCGGGGAAGACCAAAGAGAAGAAAAATGGTATCTGTTAGAATTAAAATTCCAAAGGAAAGAATCTTTGGGACCAGAATGCCCAGGCATAGCTTTAGGAGTCTAGTATTTCATATTTGAATTACTCTCTATATTTAAAGTACAAAATCCAAAATCAAATCCAAAATCAAAATTCTGTTCTCTTCAGGCACTTAAACTCAAAGGGCGGTCTGTAGGACGGGCTGGAAAGTTTGCTATAAATCAATTAACCTGGTGATAAACAGAGCCCTGAAAACTGCAGTGATGGTAGACTTGGAAAGCTGAAAAGGGAGAGGAAACCAATGTCCTCCTCAATTGCATCACTTAGTATGTTTTGAAAACTTTATACAAAAATTCAATTGCCAATATATGGTATGGTGTCTCTTTCCAAGGATCCTGAGCACAAGGAAGCTGATGACATCCATTCTGGCTTCAAAGAGCTCCTGACTGCCTTCAACAAACCCAGAAATACCTACTCACTAAAAAGTGCCAACCGAATCTATGTGGAAAAAACCTATCCATTACTGCCTGTAAGTTGAATAGTTTTATTAAGAGAGGAGCAAAAAAAGTTGCAAAAAACATTACATTTTTAAAGTACTTTTCATTAATAGAAACTCTCTTTAAATACAGTTTTCCTCTGTAAATGAAGAGCTATGGATTCCAGTTATAAATGTATTGGAAAACAACAGCTGATCCACCCACACCACTTAAGGATACATTCTCCTTTAATTGAAATGTAGAAACTCCTCTTAATGCAATTTAGCTTTATTATTGGAATGCTTAATATACTCAGTGAGACTAATTGAGACATGAAAATAAAAACACGCACTGAATATGCACAGTTTTCTTCCCTTTCCAAATAAATGCTGAAATAAGGGCACAGAATTTTCTGATACTGTGCTACTTCTTAACTGCCAGCTCACAAGCCAGTGCAGAGTAAAATGTTAAATCCTGCAGTATTCCATGCCATGGGAGGCCCAGAAGCTAAGAACTTCTCTTTGAGACTGAAAAATGCAGTATCATAAAGAACTTCTTTTTCTTCTATATGATGTTTTTCAGAAGTACTTACAGCTCAGTAAGACCTACTACAATGCAGAGCCACAGAGGGTTAACTTTAGGGCAGCAGTGGAACAAGCCAGAAAAGAAATAAATACCTGGGTTGAAAAACAAACTGAGGGTAAGCTGAGCTCAACCCCAACATCTTTTCTCTCTTACTAACTCCGTCTGCTGTTTCTTTTGGATAAATGGCCTTGTTTCTACAGTGCTAATGCTGCAGCCCAGTGGAAACTGGGCAAATGGGCAGCAGGAGACAAAGAGCAGCACTAGAACAGCTTCAAATACCTGACCCAGAGCCCAGTGAGTTCCCTGGGGAAATTCCCATCAACTCTACCGAGCTGTGCATCAGCTGCCCCTCAAACAAGATTGCCAGTGAGGTGTTGGACCCATGTACCACAGGCAGAGCAGAGAAAGGGGAGAAACAACTCAGTGACGGGTATGACTGAGCACCTTGCGTGCTCATACTCCAAGGCAAGTGGGAAGATCTGCCTAACTGTACTACCTGCCACTGGCCAGAAGAGACCTCCTTTCGCCTGGCATAACCAGCTGGCAGGAGGACTGTCTAGTTTTTTTCTTGCAACTAGTTGCCAAGAAGGTGTGACTTTTTTTTTTTTTTTTTTACAAAGGAGCAAATTCCTGTCAGCCAGTCAGAAATGGACAAGAAGCAGCTTTACGAACAGTAAACAGACCAATTCATTTATGACAGGAAAGTCTTTTAGAGTGTAGTGAACTGAAGCATGGGTATTCTCACTCTGGATCTTTGGATTGGATCTTTGTATTGAGGAAATGCCCAGTTGAAACATGACATGCACTGACATACATATATATATATATACATACTAATATAAAACCTACTCTTTTGTTTTCCAAAAGGCAAAATCAAGAATTTGGTGAATTCACAAAATGTGACAAACTTGACCACGTTGGTCCTGATAAACGCTATTTACTTCAAGGCAGACTGGGAAGTGAAATTTCTGGCAAGAAACACAAACTTGCAACCTTTCCGACTTAGCAAGGTAAGCTCTTCTGACAACCTCCTCACAGTGAACAGCCTGGTGTCCACAGCCACTGCTGAAATCTTTCTAATGTTTCATAAGTAGTTTAGTTATCCCTGTGGTAGCTAAACTCTCTGAAAAACTAGTTACTACAAAGTGTGTCAGTGATCAGCTCACCTATAACATTTATGCAACTATGTGAAACCATAACTTGTGTCTGCTGGTCACTAAATACTCACAAATTTTAGAAAATACATTAAGATGCTGCACAGGTAAATGTTAGCCAGCTCCAGATAACAAACATCTACAGTTTCTAAAGGCGACTTCAGAACTTTTTTTTTTTTTTTTTTAATGATGCTAGTAGGGCTAGATTGTAAGAAAATATGATTTGGGGAGCCCATGTACAGCCAAAGATACTTCAGGAATCACATGCCATGTCATAACTAAGAATGGTACTTGGGCTTCTGTACTGTCCAGCCTGGCTAAGCATGACCATAGCATCTCAAACACAGGCATAGCAGGGTTTTCCTGAATGACTGGGAGATATTCAATTAGCAGAAATGTTAATGTCTTGAATCCCAAAGAGATGAGCAGCTGAAGCTTCTGCTTTCTGCATAGCACTTATACACTGACTGCTTATCTGAATGAAGGGAAGGATATACTAAGAGATGTTACATACTCCTGCAAAGGTAATTACCTATCAGCAATTCCACTCACTAGGGGCCCCTATACAGACACTAGTGTTATCTTCTGCCAAAAACTGTGAAGCACAGAGCAATCAACAAGCCATTTTTTTTATCTCCAGAGAGGAAAGACCACAGAAAAATTGCAAATTGCTCTCATCTTCTAAAACCGGAGCTGTTTTTACTACCATAGGATTGAAAGGTCATATCTCATACTCACTCTATCCCCTAATCCTTGCTGACTTTTCTAAATCACTTCTACTCTCCTCTTGGGTTACTGAGCACACTCTGAGAAGAAAAGAAAACCAGACTGTTCAGGCAATAATAAATCTGTGTGGGAAAACCCCCAAGATAAGAAATACTGTCTGCTTTGAAAAAGCTTTGGAAAAGAAATGACAAACCACTATTTTCTCTTTCTCTACTGCCTTGAGTCATATTCATCCTTCATTTCAAGGAAAAAAATCTTGCTGTTTCTAAGTCAATAAATAAATACTTCACAGAACAAGACCAAACCTGTGAAGATGATGTACATGAGACATGCGTTTCCCGTTCTTATCATGGAAACAATGAATTTCAAAATGATTGAGTTGCCATATGTGAAACATGAACTCAGTATGTTCATCCTCCTTCCTGATGACATCAAAGACAACACTACAGGCCTTGAACAGGTAAAAATATATATTTAACTTTCCCTTTTCTATATCCAAGACAAATTCCGTGTTTCTTTTACTAACATTTCCACATACAACACTGTAAATATTAAACTGAAAGATGTATCTTCAAAATATATATATATACCTTCTGGTGGGTAGGATGAGTACTAGCAAATTCAGTTGAATGTTTCCCAACCAGACCACAAATGGTGCAGTCTTAAAAGGTTAGCATCAGCATCATCTTTTGCTCACATATAAACAGTGTCTAAAACTGAAAATTTTTCCATGGCCAAAAAGAGGACTGTGACCGAAATTTCACAATTTTTTTTAATCCCACGCCAGGTGTGTTTTACGAACAGAGAGACAGAATAAAGAGGGTTGAGATGAGGAAGGAAGATCCTTATAGCAGTAATATGGGTGGTTTCACTACAAATATATTCGCTTAGCTTGATGAAATTTGTCAATATTAAAAGAATGAGTCATCAGGAGGAGAATGACAGAAAGGAATTTATGGTCACAGGGAACCGTAGAGTTGATTGTTTTTTGACACTTTCCTTGGACAGATAATCTTCTCACAAATGAATGGTCAGAGGGAAAGAAAAGGAAGAGAGGAGAGGAGAGGAAAGGAAAGGAAAGGAAAGGAGAGGAAAAGAAAGGAAAGGAAAGGAAAGGAGAGGAAAAGAAAGGAAAGGAAAGGAAAGGAGAGGAAAAGAAAGGAAAGGAAAGGAAAGGAGAGGAAAAGAAAGGAAAGGAAAGGAAAGGAGAGGAAAAGAAAGGAAAGGAAAGGAAAGGAGAGGAAAAGAAAGGAAAGGAAAGGAAAGGAGAGGAAAAGAAAGGAAAGGAAAGGAAAGGAGAGGAAAAGAAAGGAAAGGAAAGGAAAGGAGAGGAAAAGAAAGGAAAGGAAAGGAAAGGAGAGGAAAAGAAAGGAAAGGAAAGGAAAGGAGAGGAAAAGAAAGGAAAGGAAAGGAAAGGAGAGGAAAAGAAAGGAAAGGAAAGGAAAGGAGAGGAAAAGAAAGGAAAGGAAAGGAAAGGAAGAGTGGTCTGGAGTTCTGGAGATCTCGTGGATTTTAATTTCCTCTACTAACTGAATTAATGTCTTTTAAAACCTACCTAACATTGTCTCAGAGATCCTGGGTTTACCTGCATTATGTACCCTTAACTTGGTAAAAATGGAAAACACACAGCACTGTGCATGAACAGATGCTTAGCTCTGCAACAGGCCAATGCTTTTCACTCAATACTTCATGAACTGCAAGAGATAAATGTCTCTTCTCTACACATTCAGGAAGGACAGTACTGCACAAGAAGTCAGAGCCCCTTCTTAAGCCAATGTGTGTGGAACCTCTTCTCTCTGACCTGAAATTTTGTTCTGATACTGTCTGCTTCTAAACACATACATCTGTTGTCTCAAAAATAAGGATTTTGTGAGATTGCAGTCTTACTATGACAGTAAGATCCACCATTGTAGTGACTTAAATTAGAAGGTTGCCTACTCCTTGAATCTATCATGTCAAGCATACCATTCATTGCTCTCCTCCATCTGATATGAGCTGAATCCAGGTAGCACAATGCCCAGGAAGGACAGTCGCATTGATAGATCCTGCTGGAAACAGCTTGTTTTAAAAATTCAAAGGAAATATGTGGAAGAGCTGGTTCTATGGAATTGGGCCAAACCATATGCCCCACAGCCAGGCACCAGCAGTTTTGTTCACACTGGGCAAAAAGAAATATTCTCACTCAAGACTGAATTAAAAGAGAGGAAGAAACTACTTCAGATGTTGGCAGATAAGGGAAGTTAAGTGCCCTGTCTTTATTTTGCAAAGAATATAGCAGAGGTGGTACTCAAAACCTTGCAGCAGTAAGTCTCATGCTTGTTGCAAAACAAACTTTTTATCATCAGTAATACCAGGTTATATTTCACGCTTTCAGCTAAGTGTTAAAACAGTTTTTAATACTTTTTGTTTTGTAATTATTAAATCTCCCTCATTCTTAAACTGTAGCTGGAAAGAGAATTGACATATGAGAAGCTGTCTGAATGGGCTGATTCCAAGAAGATGAAAGAAACTACTGTTGATCTGTACCTGCCTAAGTTTACAGTGGAGGAGAAATATGACCTCAAAGATATTTTGACCAAGATGGGAATGATCAGTGCCTTCAGCCCTAACGCTGACTTCAGTGGAATCAATGCAAAAGGTGGTTTGATGATATCCCAAGTTGTGCATAAGTCTTTTGTTGCCGTTGATGAGAAAGGTACTGAGGCAGCAGCTGCTACAGCTGTATCTGTAGACCTAACAAGTATGGGTATTGACGTGGAGGTCCTGCAATTTAAGGCTGACCACCCTTTTCACTTCTTTATCAGATACAACAAATCCAAGACAATCCTATTTTCTGGCAGATTCTGCTCCCCATAGAATAAGTTATTCCTCATGCCCAGACAGCTCCCAAAGTTCATTGTTCTATGGGAGAACATAAACTGCAGCTTTTAATCATTTAGCCATAGGTATTGAAAACATACATACTTAAGTCTTTGCCCACCATGTATGGCACCACCCAGAGATGACCCCATGCCTCAAAAGCCATCACTGTAAGTGCCCTTTCCCACTGTTCTAATGAGATGGTCCTTCATTGAAGCAGGGGGCAGAATTTTGCTCCCCTGCATCAAATCTGCTTTTCTGGCTTGTTGTTTGAGAGTGAGGCTCTCTGCACACAAGCTGTCCACTACCCTCAGGTCTGCAACTGACTAAGAGCATGCAGTCCATCTTCCTAAGTCTTCCAAGGGAAAAAATCACAGAAAGGGAAAATACTTAGAGAAATACATATGCTCTCTTTTCCTCCATGGGAAAAACGTGTTTGCATTGTTTCCTCATGTTCCTTTCAAATTTAAAGTCTTTTGGAAATTACCAAACTTTAATAGAAATTCAGAATCATCTCAAAATGCCACTTATCTCCCTCTGAGTCCCCTATATACACAGACAGATGGCCTTCATTCTCTACTGCCCTCGCAGCTTCATGCAAAATTGAAGCAGCAAGGGGAAAATCATCCAGCACATGATGTTCATCTGCTGACTTCTGATCACCTTGAAAGATTCACACCATACTGATAGGACCTCACAACTAATGGTTCATCTCTGTCTGATGCACAGCCACTTGTCATCATGAACTACTAAGTATTTTGGGGTTTTTTTGAGGGGGAGGTGATATGGACCTGTCATACCCATTTTATCCTCATTTCCCTGATCTGTATAGGTTAAGATTGCTAAGAGTTCCAGTGAGCAAAATTTACCAGCAAAATGCTTTCTTGCTAATCCTTATAGATATTCAGTCCAAAATCTCAGTGTATAAATCTGCTGCTTCTTTCTTTTTAATTCAACATAATATCTGTTTCCTAGTTTAGTCTGTTTGGTTAGTATCTGCATATTTTTTATTGCTACTTGTATCACTGTTCAATGTAGGATTTATAATTTAGGAGTGCATTGGGCAAATGCACTCCTAAGCAAGGAGCCTTGCAAAGTTTGTCATAGCGTTGACAGAAATTGGACCGGAGGGATTTGCTTTACTTCATAATTTTTGCCACGATCTGCATTGAAGCCAATAAATGAAGTTTTAAGTTGTGTTTGTGCTATTCAAAACCCCTGATTCTCTTAGAGCATCCTGTAAACTGCATGGCTGATGTAGGTTTCCATTCCTGGCATAAATCAAGAGCTGTATCACACTAACAGATGAGGAGCCAAGGCACTCTAACACACCAGCATCTTGTTTCCATCAGACTCCGAACAGCATACGCTATCCTCGACATTTACTAAGTGTACTAATTAAATTATACTCTCTGACTAGCAAGTCTTTGTTCACTGAGTCAAGGCATTTGAAGTTTTCTTTCTTTGGATGCATTCAGTACACCACTGTAAACCAGTACTTACTGCACTGTTGGACTCCCTGGGAATTACTGAGAAGGGTTATTTTCCTGTTACAACACATTAGAAATACAAAGTCTGACTAGTGCCTATAGAACAGAAGAGTAGCTTCCAGCAAAACCTTTCCTCCCTGTGTTCAAATAATGAACAAGAAATCCTGTATTGACAAAATAATTTCTGACTCTTACACTGACTTCCTGACACAGGTGATAGAAGAGCCAATGAGGAGATGTGTTCTGCTGGACCTCGTACTTGCAAAGAAGGGCTGGTTAGAGACATGAAGGCTGGGGACAACCCTTGCTGTAGAGAGGGAGTTCAGGATCCTGTGAGGAGAGAGCAGGGCAAAAAGCAGGATCACAACCCTGGGCTTTAGAAGAGCACACTATGGCCTTTTCAAGGATCTGCTTGGAAGAATGCCATGGTATAGGGTCCTAGAAGGAAGAGGGGTCCAAGAGACCTAGTTGATATTTAAGGATCCTTTTTTCAAGCTCAAGAACAATACAGCCAAAGGACCATGAAATCAAGCAAAGGGGGCAGAAAACTGGCATAGATGAACAAGGAGCTCCTAGCAAAACTCAAAGAGAAGAATGAAGCATAGAGAAAGCAGAAGCAGGGACAGACCACCTGGAAGGAATATAGGAAGGTGGTCTGAGTATGCAGGGATGGGGCTAGGAGGCCAGGGTCTATCTGGAGTTTAATCTAGTGAGGGATGTCAACAAGGGCATCTCTAAATAAATTACTAACAAAAGGAAGACTAGGGGAAATGCAGGACTGCTGAATTACCAAGGACCATGGTAATAAAGAATACAGAGTCTGGAGAAAGGAAGACTTCCCCTTGGAGGAGGATAATTGTGTTCACTCAAGCACACTGGACATACACAAGTCATTTTGCCCTGGTGGGATACACCCATGAGTGCAGAGGAACCTGCCTGATGTGATTGCAAGGACAGTCTCAGTTGTCTTTGGGAGATCATGGTGATCAGGAGAGGTGCCTGAGGACTGGAAGAAAGTACTGTCATTCCAGTTTCAAAAAGGGCAAGAATGAGGAACCACAAAGATTCAGGCCACACAGTCTCACCTCAATGCCTGGAAAGGTGATGAAGCAGCTCATCCCAGATGTGAATCCTAACTGTGTGAAGGATAAGGTCATCACGAGTAGTCAGGTGGAATCGCAAAGGAGAAATTATGCTTAAACAACCTGATAGTCTTCTCTGAGCTGGACAGATGAGGGGAGTGATTGACTTTAACAAGGCTTTTGACATTGTTGCCCATAACACCCTCATAGGCAAGTTCAGGAAATGTAGGCTAGATAAGTGGATGGTGAAGTGGACAGGGGGGTGGCTGAATGGCAGAGCTCAGGGGGTTGTGAATCATGGTGCAGAGTCTGGTTGGAGGACTGTAGCTAGCAGTGTCCCCCAGGGGTGAATACTGTGTCCAGTGATTTTCAGTTCAGTCATCAATGGCCTCAATGAAGGGACAGATTGCATCCTCAAAGTGTACTAGATGAAAGGACAGAGTGAACCCTCACAAAGTTTCCTGATGATACAAAACTAGGAGGAGTGACTGATAGACTAGAGGACTGTGCTGCCATTCAGGAGGACCTCAACAGGCTGGAGAGATGGGCAGAGAGGAACCTCATGAAATTCAACAAAAGGCAGTGCAGAGTCCTTCATCTAGAGAGGATTAATCACATGCACCAGGACAGGCTGAGGGGTTCACCTGCTGGAAAGCTCTGCAGAGAAGGAGTCATGCGGGACGGCAAATTCTTAAGCACATTTCTTAAGAAATGAACCAGCAATGTCCCCTTGTGGCCAAGAAGGCCAATGGTAGGGAGATGATCCTGCCCCTTTACTCAGCCCTGCTGCAACCACATCTGGAGTGCTTGTCCACCTCGGGGCTTCTCAGTACAGGAGAGAAATGGAGCTACTGGAGTGACTCCAGCAAAGGGCCACCAAGATGGTGAAAGAACAAGAGCAACTCTCCTTTGAGCAAAGGCTGAGAATGCTGTGCTTTTTCGATCTGCAGAAGAGAAGCCCGAGGGAGAATCCTATCAGTGTGTATAAATACCCGAAGCAGAGATGTAAATAGATGGGATGAGACTCCTTTCAGCGGTGCCAAGAGATAAGGATGAGAGGCAACAGGCACAAACTGAAACATTGGAAGTTCTGTCTGAACATAAGGAAAAACTCCTTTGCTGGAATGGTGACTGAGTGCTGGAACAGGCTGCCCAGAGAGGTTGTGGAGCCTCCATCACTGCAGATACTCAAAAACTAAGGGACAGCAGGGTCCTGGGCAACATGCTGTAGGTGAGTCTACTTGAGCAGAGGGAATGAGACCAACTGATCTCTAAAGGTCCCTTCCAAGCTCAGCCATTCTGTGATCCTGTGACTTGGGAGGACAGCAGTGGTCATCTCCTGTGGCCATGAGGAATGACACAAAGCTTTTTAGTCACTATGATACCAGGCAACTATCTGACATAGAACATTATCTAAGGCAATATGATTTGAATTCAGGAAAAAAAATACCATAAAAATATTTGCTCTGCACAAACTTCCATCTGAAGTTCACTGTCCATCTCAACTAAAGGTAATTTACACACAAAAGAACACACTTTTCAGTAGTAAGATATATTAATGTGGGGATAAAGGGATCAGGAGGAGGAAGCAAAAGGAGCCAGTTGGAGGGAACACTCTCTAGAGCTCATCTACTGTGAACTTTACCAATATTTTTAAGGTCTTATTTTGCCATTAGTAACAGACACAAGGAAATGACTTTTAAAATGTTACTTATACTCTGATCCCATCAGATCCTATTGCAATATACGTGATATTTGCTATCCTTTTCTTCCTGAATGTGAACAGAATTTCTGGTAAATAATGTTACGAGATCTAGTCTATTACGGATCTAAATGAACAAGGAGCCAACTGGTTTTTTTCACTCTGCTGCTTTTTAATTATATGTGATTCAAATAACTGATCTTCAAGAAATGCTCAGATGATCCACTCAAACTACAGAGTAAACTGAATACTGATGCAGGAGAAAAAGACTCAAACAGGCAGAGAGATAGAGCCCCACGTTGATGCTGAGAAAAATGGGGATGAGAACTGGCTTCAAATAAGACCAAAAGGACTTCATCAGGACGCCTATGTAAAAGGACATATGCTTATCACAAGACTTTTTTATGACTGTTTATCAAAGTTCAATACTCCCAGCATCAACAGATCATGTGTTCTGATGCTGTGAAACCTTGTTTCTATCATTCTGTTTGCAGCAAGCTAATATTTTTCTCTTCCACCTGGCACAAAGTCAAGAGTACCTTTTCTTTGGCAGATTTGTTCCCCTTTTAAAGTCATCTCTCACTTACTAAACAGGATCTTGCAGCAGCTGAACATGCCACAAAGACTCTCTACATAGTTTGGGCACCCTTTCTTCATTTTCCTGTATTTTTGGCCAATCTTTGAAGGTTGTGATATAGTAATTTTCATCCTAAACCACTGTTT